GCTAGGCCCGGCTAAGACGACATCTTTCATCTGCAAAGGGTAATCCAGGGCCWGGTGAATCAAGCTTTGCACAAAGCCACTGACCTCAGAGGGAGGTGCTGCCACTACTGCAGTAGCAGTTGAAGCAGGAGAACTTCTGACACTCTTACGCTGCAGTGTGGATCGGGATCCCTCCCAGCTGCCACAGACTGTAATTTCAAGGTCTGATTATTTAATCCTGGACTTAAGGCACAGCCTTATGGATAGGTGATATGGAAAGCAAAAGCACATACTGTGTGAGAAAAAGGAAAGCCTAATACAAAAAATTTTTACTCCTCTTTCAGAAAGCAATCTATATTATTAAAACTGCTAACTAAAGGGAAAAATTTGGTAATAAAAGGGCAAATTATTGACACCACTATATACTTTCAGATGTGTCCTTCCTCTCTTTTCCTCTCCCTAGATTTATTCTTTCTAAAAACAAAGGCACAGAAAGCTATACTTTTAAAAAAGGTGAATGAAACTTCATCAGAATTAGAGAGCTGGGTATCTGTACCACAGATTTAGTAAACCCCATTCAGACAACAGGGAGGTTGACAACAGGCTGCTCAGGGAAGTTGGGGAGTCTCCTTCTCTGGAGGTCTTCCAAATCGGCCTGGATGCCGCCTGTGCCCCGTGCTCTGGGTGTCCTTGCTGGAGCAGGGGGGTTGGACTAGGTGATCTCTAGAGGTCCCTTCCAACCTCAGCCATTCTGGGATTCTTTATCTGATACCTGCAAAGGCAGCTGAATTTCCACTAGAGCTACCAAAACATCGCACTTCTGTAGTTGTAAAATAATCTTAATGCTGAATTGATTTTGTAATTTGAGCTTAATTCCAAATACAGCTAAATATCAAAGATCTCTCAGCTCACAACTCCAGAATTTAGGATTAACTGCATTTTCCAGTGCAAGTACTTTGGAAAAAGTTATCTAAGGCAGGGAAGTACTAGAACTCAGCTCTTCCTGTAAAGTTGGTCAGCCTTTATTTTTAGTTTTCAATTGTCAGTATTTTTTTTCCCTTTTGTAAAGGAAGTGTAAAGAACTGCCAGTACTTGAAGCTAAATTACTTTATTTACAGGTCCAACATGACACAAACAGCACTGATGCAGCTATGCAGCATTCAGCTCAGCACCTTCACCTGGCATGAAGCTAGATACTCGATTTGGTCACTCATTTGTTGATTTCATACTACCTGAAAAACACACCTGAAAAACACCTCAAGAAAGGTGCAAGACACTTCTTCAGATAAAATTTTTTAACGCTACTTCTACATCTGATCCTTGTGGGGTCCCATTGTGGTGCAAGATACCAATGCCTGCAAAAATAGCCACAAAATAATCCTTATTGAAGTGAATAGGAACAGAATACAGCAAAGGATTCAGCTGGCCCTGGTTAGAAAATTAGAAATTAGAATTAGAAATTCTAATTAGAAAATTAGAAATTAGAAAAGCTACCTTATTTCTTTAGGAAAGGTTCCAACTCAAATCCTATGCAAGCAAAACAAATCAATTCATAAATCAGATCTGTCACCTGTGTGCTTTACGAACATCAAACTATAGCATACATACTGCATTTGATCCCTATGCTTTGTTAGTGCTCATAAAGGAAAAAGGTAGGAAACCTCATACTTCAAAAATACTAAAGGAGTGAAAAAGGTGTTTAGAACAGTAAAAACAACAACATAAAAAGCCACAATATTTAAACAGGAGATACTGTTGGGCTGCAATTAATGCTTTCATTAAAGCTATAATGCACACAAAGCCAATTTTTCCTGAAGGAGAATGCCAGACCAGAACGCACTAGCAACAGAGACATCTTTGGTAAATTATGTCAAAGCTCAAGTGCTTAGATTTTTTTATCAAGCGTAATTACTGGGGTGACATTTGTTCTACCAACCACTGTATATGCATGCGACTAACTTGTGTAGACCTACTGAAACAAACCTTTAAACCAGCCAACTGACATACTGCTGAGTAGCACTGCTGATCTATCTGTACATGTCACAACATCCCCCTGGGACTTTGCTACAGTAGATGAACTACAGCACATCTGATGAAGTGTAGAATTATATCTTTTAACAACACATTTCCTGCCTGACTGCATAAGATCCCTAAATGGGTTTTATTTTTATTTGAGTAATAACTAGTTACAGATTGACAATTTAAAGAGACACAAACCTTTAGGCTCTATTTTATAAAACTGATGATGCATATTCTGAAAGGAACAAAGATCTGTAACCTATAAACCTGAAAAAAGTATTACGTAGTTGAATCACTTTATTGTAAACCAATCAAATCCATTTTTTCCTAAAGAAAATTAATCTTCTCCCCTCCTATGCCATTAAGAGAAACATTTTAGAGAAAGTTTCAGCTACACTTCAAACTTTGATAAGGACTACAACAAAACTTCCTTTCTTAAAAAAAGGAAAAAAAAAACATAAACCAAATATATAAGAGGACAAAGTCAGCAGTATCAAGATTAGATGCATAGCCAGAATAAAATGAAAATGGAAATATAAGCTGTGGGGGAGGATTAGATACTGGAACGTGAACCAACAGGTAAGCAGGGAATCACAGGAAGAGGAATAATCACTAGCACCAACTAGCACAGAGAAGCCTTTAATTACCAGCTGCTAATTAAGTGATTCTTTTAGTGTGCTGCACACTAAGAAAGCTTAGTGTGCGGAAAGCAAACAAGCAATGGGCTAAACAGGGACTATAGCTTTCAGATACTTTTAGGCTTAATTCCCTATCCCACGTCTGGATACTCTCCAGAYGTTCATTCAGTATCACTCTGGAACAAAAGAAACCAATAGGTTTGCCGGTCCCTTCCACTAGGAGTCTTTTGTGTATCAGCTTGATTTTCCTCATCTCAGCACTTGAAAACTCAGGTAATGTCTGATGCCCAAGAATGCACAAGGACAGCAGGGAAATAGAATGTTAATGCAGCAGAATCATAACCATTCTGCAAACCAGTGTAAGGAGAATTTATTCCTACAGCCATTAAACCCTATCAGCCTCTTTAATCATGTCCTTCACTTTCAGCAGTTACATGCACTATAAAGGTGAGTCACTCCATATTTTTATTAAGAGTATTCAAAGCATAAGCAAAATGAAACAAAAACACTTGTGSAATTCCAAGTCTGAGCTTGTAAGCTGCCATTTCTGCACTACCTTCCCATTCATGTGTTAAATCATTAAAAATGAAACCCTAAAACCTGACAGCAGAAGAACAAAAYAAGAATCATGTGAAAATATTTTCTCCACTTGCAGTGTATTCATATTATGAAAAGACCGCCATCTACTGTTGACATTATAAAGCTTTTAAACACAAATTTTGCATGCATGGTAATGGAACAATACTATTTTCACTACTATGGAACTAGTTCCATTACTACTACGGTAATGGAACAATACTATTTATCACTATCAAAAAAGATGAAAACCTACCAACAGTACTAGGACGCCAGTTTGAAAAATAAAGTCACAACTGCGCTTTTCCCACAGCCAAAAGCAATGGATTTGAGAGAGACAAATCTCCCCATAATTCTAGCGTGTGGTGGGATCTATAACTTAGTGATTGTAAATATGTCACTTCTGCCCATCCACAGCTTAACAATTTCTGCTGCAGAATTACTTTGCTTCAGCTGATGTTCTGTTTTCTCAGGTATAACTACCATCTATTCCCTCTCCTCTTCCACATTCCTGAAGGAAAAGGAAAGTGAAGGTTGCAAAGGGATAGTAAAGGAGAAGCAAGATGGTAAAGGAGAAGCAGCCTGTCCTCAGAGAAGGAAAAGACATAGGTGCCTGGAAACAGTGCATCCACAATGGACCAGGACGTTTTGTCTAGTGTAGCGATCAGATTACAACAAGCATTAAGAAACGTACTCATTTTGTTCTATCCCCAGTCACTAGCCTGTATCTTTAAGATGCATTGGAGGTAGTATCAGTGGATCATTTGAACTGATTGTAAGATGAAGGAGACATTACTGACAACATATATTCCCTGATGGCTACCCTGCCCATGACAGGCAGAGATGGCAGTTTAAGAAAAGGTATACTTGTCCCACTGCCACTGTATGTGTGGGGAAAAAAATGGATGTRGGCAATTCCAGCCAGTCAGTGAAAATGTGTCAGAAGCTATAAGGTGATGCAATACCGGTACCTTTTAAGCTTACTAAGAATAAACAGGACCTGAAAGTGAGTTTTGAGGTAGTGCTTGAATATCTCGCTTTTGTGTGGTATATTATTTAGATTCTGCTGTGGTCCCTGTCACTGATTTCACACAGAGAAGACTGGGTATTCATTGTAGTTATATCTGGTTGCAATTCAAACCGACTCGAACGGACTCATATGATTATTTCAGTGAGAAAAAATTGATTCTCTATTAAAAAAAATGCAATCAATATGGGCTTAGTAAATAAACTCAATATAAATTCTCTCTACACAAGTCAGATCACTTAAGACTACATAAGTTACAAAAGCAACCATCCTCTTTTGATAAATGCCATAAGGAAGTTAYTCTGTAATCACAAGATAAACCAAAAACCTTAAATCCGTAAACCATATGATCTAGACCAACATCCTTACCTTGGATTATATCCGAGTTCTTTTGTTGCACTGCCATTCAGATATGCAAATCCTGCTATTCCTGCTCATTCAAATGTGTGTCAGGAGAATAAAAACACTACTCATGCTTTCCCATCTGCAAAATCTGAATAATTTATTCAGATAAACCTTAAAGAGCTCTCATAAACTTCACAGCATAATACAGTATAGTTAATGACAACTTCAGAAGTAATGTTTTTGCTGCAAAGCATAAATTTAAAGATAAATTTAAATTGTAAGCCACAAGATGTTTTTTCATTATTTCAAAGAAGCGTATCATTGATGACAAACATACAAATAAATATTGTCAGGATTAAGATCTGCATTTGGTTTTGTGAAACCTCTGAATTCCCACAAAACTATCTACGTGATAGTTCTCCTAATTCACAACATGCACTGCTGTCTCAAGTAACACATTTCAGAAGTATATATTTAGGAAAACAGTATATGTCTTGAGTATGTGTATTATCTTGCAAATAAGAAAAGTATCCTTCAGAACTGCCTAATGGTACCATAGTGTGCAATAAAGATGGTCTTAGGGTTTTCTTGTTAACAGCACTTACAATTTCTCAAATTTCATTTTAACAGAGATATCTGCTACTGATTTTCAGAGATCTCATTAAAGGATATAAATTTGAAGAAGGCGGCCATATTTTCCTCAAGATTGATGCTTTTTTGTTGGTTTATCAAAGTAAGGAGTATTGTCTTGTAGCAGATCTTTCCTGGGTACAAGCACTGTAAAACAAAAAAGAAAAAACTGTAAGAATATATTCTGCAAATTATTGCATAAAATGATGTTGTTTTTACATTTGCAAAGAAAAAAAATGTTAGTGGAATGAGAATCCGGTGAGATAATGAGATGCATAATTAACATCTAAGACAAAACCATATTAACATTTACCTTCCGATTGTCAAAATATTTCCTTCACTTTTCTTCCCTTTAAAAGCATAGAATATATTTAAGTTAATTTATAATCTATAAAAAGGGTAGTTTTGCAATAATTTGTAGTAAGAGAGAGAACARCAATTTTAACTTATCTAACAAACCTGAGTCAGATTATGTTTAATACTTACACAGTTTCAAAAATAAGCATTAAATTTGATATATCCCTTTTCCTCTTTTGACTTAAGGTCCATAGTATCAATATAATTAGCACTGTTTCAAAGGCTAACAGAAGATGATGGAATCATATGCAAGTTATCAGCACTAACTCTTTAAAGAAGAGCAGCATATTAAAGTTTGTCTAATTATGCACCATTTTAATCTGACTCTGGCTCAAAGTTCTGGCCATCTGACTCTTCAGACATCAGCTTGGCCTTTCTGCACAGAGGGAAGGTGCAGTGTCATGTCATGTTTGCTCAAGTAGCAGCAACTTAAAATGCAAAGGTTAAAGCTAATGCTACACTTTGACTAGGTCAGACTAGGTCAGGTACTAAGTGTACGGTAAGCCCATAAAACAGTGTGTGTGCGCATCTATAGCACTGAGTAATAACCTGTTCAATGCACAGTATATTCCCATATATTCTAAGAAAGAAAACTGATTTCCTTRAGGATATATTTCTTTTGCATCTATGGATTGATGCTGATGTACTTAATAAGGTCCTAAGAGTTTTAAATAAAAATTTAATTTTCACTTCTCTTACAGAGAAAACACAAATGAGTAAATTCATGACAAATCATGTCGATCTACACAGCTACAGTAAGTGCATGAAAGCAATGAAAGAAAGAAAGAAAAGAAACTATCAAAAGACACCACCAGACAAAATAAAATAGAAGCTCTAAACAGATAAAGACGGAAACAAATGATTTTTTATCTTCATTTCCAAAGCTAAGTTTTGAATATATAGAGTCAATGCAGCACATCAAAATCATCCAGACATATTGCATGTGTGGTATATCACTAACATGTAGCTCTGCTTTTATCAGCTTCATTTGCAATTAAAGTGAGAATAAATAGAACCAAGAAATTTGAATTCTAGTAAATAATGTGACTCTGACACTTCTGGAAAAAAATATTATTTAAAGTTATTTAAAGGACAAACAAGTTTGTAACTTAAAAATTCTCTTTAGTAAGCAGAATCATACCTAATTACTTTTTTTTGGATTTATTACTGAATCCAACATGACTATACACTGTTTTGTCTCAGATTCTTATTAAGAAGAGAAGATTGAGAGGAGATCTGATCAACATGTATAAGTATCTGATGGGTGACTGTAGGGAGGAACTCTTCTCAGTGGCGGCCAGTGACAGGACAAGGAACAATGGCTGTAGGCTGAAACGCAGGCAGTTCCATCTCCATGTGAGGAAGAACTTCTTTCCTGTGAGGGTGACATAACACTGGAACAGACTCCCCAGGGAGGTTTTGGAGTCTCCTTCTCTGGAGATCTTTCAGACCTGCCTCAATGCAACCCTGTGCTCCGTGCTCTGGATGTCCCTGCTAGGGCAGGGCGGTTGGACTAGATGATCTCTTCCAACCTTAACCATTCTGTSATTCTGTGACATCAGCTAGCTCCGATAGCACTTGTGCATTCAYCCCATTTGGTCCCATGGATGTGTCTTTATCTAATTTGCTTAAATATTCTTTAGTCTGATACTMCTTTACTGTAAGTAAATTTTCCTTGCTCCAGGTTTACCCTAYTGGTGCCAGGCACTGGGCTTCCTGAAGATAAATTTTTAGCACTAAAGACTGAGGCAAAGAAAGCATTCAAGTGTCCTGGGCCTTTCATGCCCTTTGCCATGCAAATGTYTGCCTCATTCAGGAGCAGTCCCACATTTTCTCTTGTCCTCCTTTTGCTGCTCATGTATCTCTAAAAGTCCTTCTTGTTGACCTTCAAGCCCCTTGCCAGGATCAACTCCAGGTAGACTCAGACTTTCCTATCCTCAATCCTGCAGGCAGAGTTAGAATATGAACTGATATTAGAACRTGAATGCATGTCACCTTTGCAAGAGAAGTTCTGCCTTACAGTCTCTATTGGAGTTCTTRGAACAGCTCTCCTGAGGATATTACAGTGTGCTTGGATTTCCAATAGTCCCTCACAAAAAAAACTCGTAAGAACACAGATGACATATTATGAGAGAAGGATAAATCACTGATTAAACTGTGGGAAGTGAAGGCTAATGGAACTGTTCTCCCAATGGAGAGATGTCACAAGTTCTGCAGGCATGTTTGCTGGAATCTGTGCTGTTTAATACGTTTGTAAGCAACTTGGAAAAGCAAGTGCACAATGGTCTGTTTTTCAAGGATACTACCAAAAATAATACCATTAGGAGACTGGCCTACTGTGAAGAAATGCAGAAGGATATTAAGAGATAGACTAAGCAGTAAAATGCCTGATAAATTCAAATATAAAGAAATGTAATGCAAATAAGTAAAAAAATACTATCTTCACACAGAAAGTGATGGCGTCAAACCTGAATGGTGAGAGCGTGAATCATTCTTCTGAGAGTTCAATGTACACAAAATAAACTTGTAAATTAAAAAAAAAAAAAAAGAGCTAAGCACAGTGATCAATAGCAAATAAAAAAATAATTTTAGGATTAGAAAAAACTAGGAAATGAATTGCGAACAAAAGAGAAAGCATCACTGTGCTRTTGTTCAAATCACTGGCTTGTTCATAGCTTGATGACTGTGTGCAGCTCTAGTGCCCTCATTTTAAAAAGACTGTAGGAGAACTGAAGAAGGTACAGAGGAGGGCAGTAGAATGACCACAAATGTTTAACTTTTGTTTCATATATAAGCTATCCCCTMAATGGAAAAAAAAATGCAGGACAGGCCATAGGGGGCTTAAAAAAMCATTAGCAGCTTAGCAAAATAGATATGCATTGACAAGTAAATGCCATATTCAGGACAAACTACACAAAGTTATTTTCACACAAACTATAATAAATTTTTTGTCAAAGACATATTGGATGCTAGAAATTTGCCTGCATGATAGGCAATAAGCACACCAGGGAGAATCCACTGAGTATTTAAAACAGAAATAAGTCTCTGGCTCAGTAAACTGTTAATAGGTAAGATGGAAATACTTGGAAGATGTGAAGGTGCTACAGAAAGCACACAGTCTGTTCTTACTCTTCTACTGCCATTGCTTATGATGGCTGTGGAAGCCGTAACACGGGTCTGGAAACATTTTCGGACTAAATCAGTAAAGCTCTTCTGAAACTGAATGTTTGCTAGTTTAGAAAATCTAAAATTGGATTTAGCTACAAGGATTTATAAGGACAGCAGCAAACAGAAGTGAAGGAAACAACGGATACACCTAAAGGATACACCTATTTCTCCTAGAGCAAGCAGTGGTAAGATAAGCTTCTCTTCAGTTTGACCAAGAGCTATTGAGGAACTTCTGAATTAGAAGGCAAAACTTCACAGTTTGAGAGGCTTTGTATACAGGCCATCATTATGTCTTAATTTTTCCATGACTGGTAAAGTAATTTGGAATTTATAATGTCGTACAAGGTTTTAGGTGAAAGACAATACTCACACCTAAAGGAAAAGGCTACTCTATGGGCAGCAAATGTTCCCACCTATCGGAAAACACATAAATTGGCTATATCTAAACGCTGGCTGATTGTGTAGACAGTATATGCCACGTGGACTTGCCAACCAGATGCTGTCATTCCTACAGAAGTGCAAAAATGGATTAGCAAGTTATAATTTCTTTTCTTCAATGATGACACTAAAGGTGATCTCTGCCTCTATCAAACCTCATAATTCAGAAAATGCATGTAGAAACAACATTGTCTTTGCATCTCTACATTTCATATATAGTGAGTCAGCAGGCTTAAATTACTATCTATACACGCACACATATGCACAGACATATTTCCCCTCTCCATCCCTCTGTTCCATTTTCAAGCTTATACTTATTTATTGAATTTCAACATCTTTTTAACATGCAATCTTTACTCACATATTTTGTCAGAACCTGTATGAACTGCCTGAATAACAGAAGTTCTGAGAATCATTTCAACATCTGAAGCTRTTTTCAGGAGCTAGTAAAGGAAGAAAAATAAGAACAGAGTAATTTAAGTGATACACAATTATCCTTGTAGTCATTTTCCATAGTAGAGAGCTACTCAAACACTAAGCAATCAATTACTCAGCAAGCTATTTACTATCTACACATAATTTCCTTTTCAGGATCCTGAGGTCCTTTACGAGTCAGTAAGGAGTACCCTGACATACAGTGCCCTGTTGAAACTGTAAGGGAATAAGGTGGAACACAATGATCAAAAGAAGTAACTTATTTCAATGACTATAGGCACTGGTAAAAAACTAGAAAGCAGCATCTGACTGCCTCTAATGAGATGGGTAATACGGCTTTTTTAACATTCCTACTCTCATAATATGGAGGTAAAAAGAGGGGCAAAACCAGACAAGAGAGCTTTCACAGGAAAGCAGTGCAGGAACGAGATACTCAAATCCAAAGATTAACAGAGGCATGATTATATGGTAAAAACCYTGAAATTATTTCCCTCCTTGAGAAGGTAAGTAGAGGGGTACTGTCAATTTTGCCAGCTGATCAGCAGAATCCCAGAACTTGTTTGTATTATGCTTCTGTCAGAAAAAAAAAAAATGAAACTGCACAAGCAAGAGACTCTTTGGGAGCTGATGTCTATATTTAATTGGTAAGCAGTTTGTACCAACATGAGAGATTATTTGTAGCATAAGAGTTAGGGCTGAGTAGAGCTACCCTAMATCTTTATCCGCCCTTCCCCCTTTCTCCCATTTAGAAAGCAAGAGCAAGTTATGATCTTGTTCCCCTTACTGAATGACCATTAGAAACCAGAATGCACTGAGCTTGCTCTTGAAGCTTCCTTTCTACCCCAGATTCTTTTTAAAGAGTCACATGCTCTAGGACTGCTTCACAAAAAAAGCCAAATCAAAGTAAGCAGAGATAACCAGGACCACTTAAAAAGKGCGTTCCTGATGAACTAAGCAGCTAGGGTAGGTGTGGCCATCGCATTCCACATTCTAATATTGCAGATGGTTATTCTGCTCTTCCTAGCTCACTTCATAGCTAAATATTTAATGTCACACACAGAAAACACTGCAGCATTCTACTCTGACAAAGTAAAGTGGAGGTATCAGTATATTTGTAAATAAAGATTCATGGAAGCATCTTTTCAAAACTCAGTTGTTCCTTGCAGTGTCTCAA